ATTTTCTCTGTGGTTTTATTTGTCTCTTCCTGTTCTGGAATTCCAATGACATGTAGGTTATTCCTTTTGATGGTATCCCACATGAACCTTAGACTTTCTTCATTTTGTTTTGATCTTTTTTCTGATTGATTGCTTTCTAAATAAGTATTAAGGTATTTGCCTTCAATCTCATTAATTCTGTCTTCCATTGATTCAATTCTTCTCCTTTGCCCATTGAATGTCTTATGTATTTCTGAAAACTTAGTATTAATCATCTGGATTTCTGTCTGTAGATTTTGTATCATTCCTAATTTTTCATTTATTTCTTCATTTTGTTCTTGAATTGTCTCTCAAATTTGTTTTAGGATTTTCTCTGTGTTTTCCTCAATTTTGTCTGTGTTTTCCTTATCTGTCTCTCAATTTGTTAAAGATATCTAAATATAATTCTTTTGAATTCCTTATCAGGGAATTCCAATGTTAAGGATGTGTTTTGGGTCTGTATCTTGGTCCTTGTTTCTCCTGCTTTATCTTACTTCTTTGGGTGGACTGTGTTGCTCTGTTGTTTCTGAGGCATTGTGAGGTTTTTGTGCTTATATTTAATTGGTGATTGTATGTTGGAATGACTTGCTCATGATTTTCATTTTCTCTGTTTTGTTTGTAAGTTATCTATACAAGCAGGGTACTGTGCTGTACTCCTCTATTCACTAGTTGATAGCACTTATACACTCACCACCTGTTTCCTTTCCTGTTAGCCTCTTGTATGTCTCTGCAACCTTGGCAAACAGAGCCTATTCTTAGGTCCCTAGAATCTGAATAAGAATGCTGTCACTTTAAAATTCAAAATGGTTCCCACTTGCAAAGATTCAAAATGGCTGCACCCTCGGTCACATTAAATATCCAAAATGGCTGCTGCATGTAAACAATCAAAATGACTGCACCCTCTGGACAGTGGAAAGTCAACAGCTCAGGTTGTCTCACTCCTTGCTGTTTCCCTTCCTAGTCATAGGCACCAGTGCAATTGTCCCTGCAGCTCTTGGTGACCAGGGCTGATCTTTAGGTCAATTCTCAGGTCCCAACACCACTTGGAAATATTCAGGCTGTTGATCAGAGTAGCTGACAGTCCGCAGATCCGACCATCTCTGTACTCACTGTTTTCATTCAGGTTTTTCCACTACTTGGTGCCTAATCCACTTCTGTATAGTTCCTTTCAAAGCTCAGGGCTCCAGGATTATCTTCTGTATCACTGTCAATTGGTTTTTCTTTTCTTTGTTGAAGAGGGTCTGTGTTGCTTGTGTGCCTATTCCTCCATCTTACCAGAAGTCTGCTTTAGATCTTATGTGACTGTGCAATATTTATTTTTCTCGCAACTCTCATTAACATCTTTGAGCAACCCTTTTGGGAAATATTATTGTATAGAGTAAGGCAGAAGTGAGTTCTATCCATATTCACAAGTCTTTTTGCACTGTAAGGGAGAGGCAAGGCAGCAATGTTGTTGTTGTTGTTACATGCAGTAGAGTCAGCCCCGACTCATAGCGACCCCTCCTTGGGTTTCCGAGGCAGGATCACTACTGAAGTAGATTGCCCAACCTTCCTTCCAAGCAGTGGCTGGTGGGTTTGAACTGCCAGCCTTCTGGTTAGCAGTCAAGTGCCTTAGACACTATGCTACTAGAGCTAAGAGCAGCCAAAATCCCTCCTCCCCAGGAGGACAACTGAGATTACTTCTAGTCTTCCTGCCACCCACTACTTATGTGAGGAAAGAATACTGAAAATGACAACTAATGTATGCTTCCAAATATACATCTTTGGGTAAACTCAAGATACAAAGGGCAGGGGAGAAGAGCTATCATAGATTTTAAGGGCTGAGACTCTGGAACAATTGGCTTTCAATTCTGGCTTCAATACTTCCTGGCTCAGTGACCTTGGACAAATTACTTAATGTCTCATTGCCTCAGTTTTTTTTCTGTGCAAAATGGGGACAGTAATAAGACCTGTCTTACTAAATTGTTGTGAGGATAAATGATGTAATTATGCAAAACCCTTAGTAAGGGCTCAATAAAAGTTTATATATTATAGAAATGGAAAATAACACTTGATCAAAGTGAGGGGTCAGAGTCAGGAAATGAAACAAAACAGAGAACCCTGGAAAACTTCAAGTTCAAATTAATCTTCTTTGTTTTACACATGAATTTACCCCCCCCCCCCTTTTTTAAAATAAATCATTGCACCAAGCACCCTCTGAGAATTCAGGGTTGCAGTTTGAGAGAAGCTATTAAATTGGCTTGTCTGTAGCACTGGAGTGTAAATGACCCTTTCACCACTCTTCATTCTAGCCAATCCCAAACTATCTGACTAATTAATACACAAGAATCAGCTTGGCAGCTGCTGCCAAAGACAAAAAGAAAAATGACTGGTTGAAACTCAACAACCCTGAGATAACTGCCCAAGAGAGAATGAAAAGGACTCAGGATTGTGCTGAAGATACTTGAAGTGGGGAGGTTAGAGGAGAGATCTGTAAGCAAATACAAGTTTCAACACTTCCAGAACTTTAAAAAGAAGCATGAAATAAAACAGACTTGGAAATCTCAGAGTACTTTGCAGGTAATAAGGCTAAGGCTTCAATTTTACATATATCAATCTCAGAGGGCTGTGGGGAAGATTAACTATGTCTAAAGTGATTGGGGAAAGGAGCCATCCACTACTTTCTCCTTCATTCTCAGAGTTAAGTTCAATTTTCCAGTAGAGTTGGCTTTCTCCTTTCCTTTGTCCTCACCACTGATGATCTTAGAAAGAGCCTTACCTGCTGGGAGAAGCCTTTCACAACACGCCTTTGTTTGAGGTTTGTCTCTCCATCCAAGTTGGCGGTTTCCAGATGGCAGATCCCACTGGGGTCAGAGGAAAAGAGGAGGAGGATATCTGCTGGAATGATCTCATTGCATTGCATTTGGATGAAGTCTCCCACGCGCACATCCTTCCAGCACTTCGGCACGTACCTCTGTTCTTTTCTTGGGTGGGAGAAAGACAGAGATCAGAGTGAGCTTTAAGCTTCCTCAGAAAATCAATGGGTGAATTGGGGAAAGGCCTACCTACCCTGAAATGCTGACCTCCCAAGTCAGCCTGTCAGGAGACTGTCTGTATTCTCCCTTGTTCCAAACGACCACTGTAATAATCTAAGAAAGCAGACAGGATCTACGTTGTTGTGCGCTGTTGTGTGGGCACCCCCCGACTCCTGGCTATCTCATGCACAACCAGATCAGACTGTTGTGATCCACAGGGTTTTTGGAAGTAGATTGTCAGATCTTTCTTTCTAGTTGTGATTTAAAAATCCCACTATTAAAACAACTGTCCTTGTGATCATTTAGAATTTCCATTGACCAGATATAGTGCTCAGAACTTGCTTCCTAGCAAAATAAATTTAAGGGAGAAGGTAACTATATCTGTCATATTAATAAACAGTTGCTGTAGAACTGACTCTGACTCATGGTGACCCCATGTGTGTCAAGAGTAGAACTGTCCTCCCCAGGATTGTCAATGGCTGTTTTTTCAGAAGTAGATCACCAGGCCTTTCTTTTGAGGCATCTCTGGGTGGACTCAAACCTCTAACCATTTGCACTGCCCAGGGACTCTTTTATATTAATCTAGTACACTTTGTGTACATAATTTACCCAGATAGGCAGCCATCACCATCGAAAGTAGGGTTGTGAGGAAATGAGGTATGGGAAAGTTTGCTTGCGATTATAGGAAGAATAGTGGCCGTTGGAAATGTAAGGATATAGGAATTTGTCTATAAATTTCCCAGAGTTTCTATTAGAAAACTGGGAAATCAGGGAAGAGATGAAGAAAGCACCAGGAACTTTGATGGGTTGGGACCCACAGTAACTGCAGAACCAGACAACTGAAGAAATCAGAGGAAATTATTCACTCTATCTTATTTGCCGATTTATCAAGCTCAGGTAGTAACAGTGGCAGCAACAACTGCAAATTGAGCGTTTCTAACATGCCAAGCACTAGCGTTAATAAATATTTCATTTACTTAATTACCCAGTGGAGTAGATATTATCATATCCATTCCACAAATAAGGAAATTGAGTATCAAATAAAACTTTCCCAAGGTCTCCCAAAAGTGGAGTTGACCCTTGATCCCAGGTGAGTTGGAGGCTGATTCCAAAGTCCAGTTTTTACTCCTCTAATATCCTGCTTCCTCTAAAACATCCCTCCTCCCTCTTCATAGCCTTAGTTTTTCCATCTCCAGTAAAAGAACTCACTACTTCCCAAGACAACACATTCCTTTTTCGAAGAGCTCTCCTTTCAGAAAATCTTAGGCAAATATTTAACTGGTTCTTCTCTTAGGCAAATCTGATTTATTCCATTTTCCATTATTCTTGACACATTTTAAGGTATTCGTCAAGTTTGTCATGAAGCCTTTTGGACTCTCCAAGTCAAATTTAACTTTCTGAGTGTCCTTAATGATTCCTTGTGTGACACAGTTTCCAGTTCTTTCTCTGGAGTTGTGGGCTCTTTAGTTTATGCCAGCAGTTCAAAATGTCTCTCTTTACATGTAGGATCTGGAACCAAACTAGTATTCCACATTTGGTCTTTATTAATTGAGCCATTTGCCTCTAGGCCCAGCCAGGACTAGAAGGGCGAGCTCTCCATTGCTGTTTTTCTCCACTGATGCCGAGTCCCTGTGGGCATGTTCTTGTTGCTGTTTCTGTTGGAATCTGAGTATTGTTGCCTAGGCATGACAAGTCCACTCTTCCACAGAGAAAGAGACGTGACTAGAATTCCATTTTTCTCCTTTGACTTCACTAAAGTCCCTGAAGAAGATGAGGGGTCTGATCACTTCCTCCTTCCTTGGGACATTCTGGAGATCCTCAGACAAGCCTTCCTAAGATCCCACAGAGGACTCCCCTAGTCCCCTGCAATGAAGGTTCTGCCATTCAGAAGGCCAAGGAAAAATCTGATCAGAGTCTATAAAATAATCAGGGACACTAGAATGGAAAGAACCATGGGGTTTAGATCTGATCACAATTTATAAAATAATCAGGGACATTAGAATTGTGGAACAGCCAAGCAAATCGAAAGAAACATAGAGTTCTGTGGAAGTGCTTATTGCTCTGGGGAGTTCAACACAGCAATTATTGGTTCAATTAGTCCATGGGCAAGTTCATGAGAATGACTACTGAAGCCACTTCTGAGTATTTTCGGGACCAATGTGTTTGTAGCATGTTAGTAATAATTCCTCCTTACATGGAAAAGCATGTAATAAGTTTCAAAGCACTTTTCAATTCTGTTCTTCAGCTCGGCTCCACGTCATTTTGTAAATACATATATTTTTGCTTATTCATATTTTTAGTGTGGCTACTTCTCCACCAGGAGTGTCACTCTTACAATCAGACCCTCCATGATCTCTCTGCTGACTCAGGGGAAGACTTTTTTTTTTTTTTTTCCTCTTCAGAGTGGCCCTGGGGAGTCCTGTTAAAATTCCAAATATAAGGTTACAGAAAGAAATCAGAATTGTCCACTCCCCCTGTGGGAAAAGGAATCTCATAAGGTGAAGGAGTGGCTAGCTTCCTCTATTGCTTTATTTGTCTTTTTTCCTTTTTCTTTTTGAGAGGTGCTTCTAAAAAAGTGGATTTTTAAATATTACAGCAAAATTGTTTTAAGGAACAAAGGTCTGTCATTCTATTGGTGTGCACTCTTCCCTCATTTGACTTCTGTGTCCTATTTGATAATGCCTTTAGGGAGAATGGGATGTTGGTTAATTGTTAATCTCAGCCTTTCACCTAGCATTTGAAATTGGATTTGGGAGAATATTGCTTGGTCCTAAGCAATACCCTGATTGCTAATATGTCAGAGTAGTCTGATTCAGAAGGAGGTTTGCAAATGCTAGTTGAGATTGCTGCACACATAAACACATCAAAGACAACACACTTCTACACGTGACCAATGAATCTCATTTTTCTTCTTTCTAATAAAAGACTCAACTGCTTACTATAGGATGTGGGTAATTAAGCTGATGAAAGATGGAGAGCTGTGGAGATGAGCTTATAGTACAAACATTCTTCTGACCAGTGACTTTAGTCACTGTTGGCTGGAGTGTTGTCTTGTCAATTCTCATCACAATCATGAGAATCACAAGGTCAATAGAGCTACCCAAGAAGCTGAAGTCAGATCAGTCTCTGTCTTCTTTCTGTTATTCTTAGATCTCAAGCGATGTTAGCTGTACTGGTAAAAATTGCCTCTATCTTTCTTTTAGAAGTAATTTTCTATGTGGTGGCGAAGGAACATTTCCAGTCGTGGTTGTAAGTTTACACTCCCCAGGGCAGAGTTGGCCCACTCTTAGGGTTGAGCTCATAGATCTCCAGGATATCTTGTTATTTTCCCAAAGTAAGAAAACTGTGGGATCAACATAATCTTGTAGTTTTAGTTTTACAGAGATTTTTTTTTTTTTTTGGTGGGGGTAGTGGTGTGGATTAATAATTTAACTGGTACGTAACCAGAATGTTCCTTAGACATGAGGATGGCAAGACATTGGCTCAATTACTTTAGACACACCATCAAGAGAGACTAATTGCCAGAAAAGGATATCATAGTAAAATAGAGGATGAGTAAAAATAAGGGAAACCTTCACTTCAGTGAGATGGACTGATACAACAGTCACAACCATGGACTCAGACATAGCAACGATCATAAAGATGACCATAAAGTACATATAAGGGGAGATAGTTTCAGGTTTCAAATCCAAATCACGTGACTCCAAACCCTTAACCACTCTATGATACTGTTTCTACTTCAATGCAAAATCAAACAAACCAAATTTCGTTGTGTAGTACATAAATTGACCATCAGTTGGAACCAACTTGATGGCAACTAACAACAATAACAATTTGAAGAATTATATTTATATTAACCAAAATATAGTTATACTATGGGATCAGAAGCAGTTTTTATTTTATTTTATTTTTTATTTTAAGGATAAACAAACGTGACACCAGGGACATTTCCTTCTTGCACAGAACCACTTTGTACTGGTCCCAGATCCTTTGGAGGCCCACTTCGTCTCCTCAACTGTCAGGAGCATGTCTGTGGAAAAGTTATGGATGTACAGCCTGAGGGGTCCAGCCGGGGAGGCAGGCAATGAGTGGCCTAATCTAGTGGAAGCGGAAAAGTGGCATGCCTCCACATTGAGTGACACCCAGATGTGGTCGGCAGCTGGCCGGGAGCTTTTGTAGAAGTCATTCCCTCATTAATCTAGCACTTTTGGAACAGCTGCCCCAGGTGGATGCGTCCACATGCTCTTGATCATCCCCCTGCTCAGTGAGTCCACACCTGGGAATTGGCTGCTATTTTAGTTCCATGCTGTTTGCTGCTGTTTTAAAATAAGACAAATCAACATGGCTTGGGACTAAGACTCCATCTGGCAGATCCTGCCTTGAGGAGAAATTAAGTGGTGCAGTGCTAAACGGCTTTCTGAGAGGAGATAGGGCTTATTAAGAGGTAAATAAACAGCAAGAGATGTTTGTAACCAACTAGATGCTGTGAGGAAGCAGGTGAAAGTGGGAAATGGAGGGACAGAGGATGCTTAACGCTCTGCTTCTCAAGTATCTGAATCTCATCAAAAAGATTTTAGGAAATTGGAGTTGAGGGGATTTTCTAGGAGAATTTGTTGTTCCTTGGGTCTTCCTATTAAAAATAAAATGATGAGCTGACTTGGGCTGTCTTTCAGGAAACCTGAGCACCAGGCTCAGAGTGAAAAGGGGAAGGCCAGCAAGAATGAGAGAAGGGAGGAAATAAGAGAGGGGTTGAATCCCAGTTTCACCACTTACTACCTTGGGACCTTGGACAAGTGACTTAACCTCTCCATCTCTTTGTCTCTTCATTTGTCTGTTGAAGGCAGTATTTGCATTTGCCTTAGAGGGTTGCCAAAGGAGTGGTGACAAAGCCTATGTAAGAAACTGAGCTCAGGGTTTTGGATACTAAGAACTCAATAAATACAATCTGC